TCTTGTAAGTGTGTGGGAGCAATGGTGACAAAAGTGAAGAAATTCAAATGCTCTAGCCACACAAGATGAAGAATGGGTAACCTCTAAACTTAATGTTTTGATTTTGTCTATTGGTTGCCTGTTTTGTTTTATGCATGCATGAGTATTGAGCATGAATGATCACATGTTGTTTGTTATCTCATGTATGTTGAAAATGTGTTATGATGAACATGTTTTAAAGTTAATTTTTTTATTTATCAATTTCTAGTTCATCATAATGTTTTTTTGGTCAATTGTCTTTTTATGTTTTAAATGATTCTTTTAAAATACTTTGGCCTTAATTTGTGCTTTTATTGAGAACCATTTTCAAAACAAGTGATATTCTTGATTTATTAAATATTTTTAACATTTCGAATCACTTTAAGTTTATGATGCCAAGCTTGATAATGTTTTAAAATCTCTTTCAATTGATATCTTTTACATGATGCCAATGTAAGAAAATTTTAAATATTTTTCTTAACTTGCATATGCATTCTTTGGCATCCTCCATACCTAAAATTGATATTATATTTTTTTTTTCAAATATCAATTGGTGTCAATTTTTGTTTACATAATTAGTATTCCATGAGTTTTATCTTTAAAAGTTTTCTTGGGATGTCTAAGAAAGGGGGAGTCATAGAAGATGATTTTAGTAGATTTGCATGAATGCAAATCTAAATCATACAAAATGTGATTTGTGAAATATATTTTCTATTGCATGATTATATAGTAATTAGTTTGAATACTCATAAATTGATTTTAAATGTTTGGATCTTGATATTTTAATGAAATTTATTCTTTTACTTTTTGCATATTTGCATATATATGTTTTTTCATCTTTAATATGCAAATGCAAATTGTTAAATGTTCATGCGTATGCTTTCATTAACAATTGGTATACATATTAAATACATGACATTATGTAGTGCTTTATGCATATGAGATTCAATATGCCATTTTTAATTATTGCATAAAGTATAACAAGTCTTGAATTTATTGAATTTCATGTGTTACTAACATACTTTCTCATCTTATTGAAATTCAATATTCTTTTTAAGTGCGTAAGTGTTTTTTTGCCAAAACTTTTCATGGAATGCTTTCATTAAGGGGAGCTTTGTTTTTAAATGATTTATATGCTTGAACCTTTTATTTTTACTTATTCTCCATTGTTGAATTATTTTTGATATAATAAAAAGGGAGAGAAGTAATTGAAAAATTAAATTTCTCAAAGAAAAAGGGGGAACTTAAATATTTTTTTATTAAATTCTCTTTTTTCAAAAAATATTTTTCGAAGGGGTAGCTTTTGTCAAAAATAATTTTTCAAAGAAGTTTTGTTATATCAAAAAGGGGGAGATTGTTGAACTTATATTTTGATATAACAAATATTTGTAAAAATTGATTTTAGACTTGATCAAAATTTTCAAAAATAATTCAAAGTCCAAAATAACTTGAAAATATGTTCTTAATTGCTTTATACATATGAAATATTTTTTAGTTAATTAAAATATGTTTAAAGCTTTTTAAATATGAAAAACACTATCTAGTCACTATTTGGCACTGTTCATACACGAGTATTGTTATAGTTTAGAAACTTTGTAAGAGTTTTGAAACTTTTATTAAGAGTTTCGAAACTTTCAAAACTTTACAAAAGTTTCAAAACATTGTACCCAGAAATTATTTTAATGGCCCGATTTTCTTCAACGATCATAATTTTAAGTAAGAGTTTCGAAACTTTCAAGAACTATGTGTTTAAAAGTTTCGATACTTTCACATTCGAAACTTTCTCAAAAGTTTCGAAATTACATGTGTGTGTGACCTTTATTGCATGTCTTTAAAGCTTCCCAACGGCTATAAATCATCCCCCACTGTCATAGATGGCTAGCAACTCATTCCATACAATAAAAAACACTCCAAGAACATTTGAAGAAGGTTACTACACCTATCTAAGCTTAGAGATCAAGTAAAAATAGTTTTCCTTCCTATTTCCTTCATTTTTCAATTGTAGATAAGTGTATATAACTTAATTGAATATCTTTTGTTTTTATTATTGTGAGCTTAAATCTTTGTAAGCATCTATCATGAGGTTTCTTGTTTACATTTATTATTCTTTGTAAAAGGGGATTGGTTATAGTTTAGCCTTGAAAAACTAGAGAATTGTAAATGTTACTATTGAGCCTAGAAAAAGAAAGAACAAATTAGTGAATTTGTTGAAATCCTTAGAGTGGAGCTAAGGTACTGGATGTAGAGTTTGGTTGAGAAAGTTGAACCACTATAAATCTTGCGTCTAATTCTTATCTTTTATTGCTTCAACACCAAAGATATTTAAAGGTCAATTCACCCCCTCTTGGCGATTTTCGGTTGATCGTAAGAGCCAACAAAATTTTAAAAAAATTAATTTGGTCCTCAAACTTTAAAAAAAAATCAATTTATGCAAACTGCCACCTCATCAGTGGTGTCATCAGTCATCGTGGACTATTATACTGACACCATAAAATATCACGTCAACATCATAACGATCAACAATGTAAATCATTAGTCAAAAAATCATATTAAGTTATTTTTCTAAATGCAAATGCTATATTAATTTTTCCTTAAAAAAAGGCATAGAGACATCAGGTATATTGTCACCCTATAAAATTACTATTTAACAATTGTAATCATTAAATTTATCAATATAAATTAACTCGTTAGATATGGTTTGTATAAATTCGAGATCTCTATCATATCAATATAAAAATATTAATATGTATTTAACAATAAAAACTTTCAATTGTTAAATATAAATTATTTATAATCATTTATATCTTCGATTAACTAATAGATTGATATCAATAATTATATAAAAAGCGGTAATATTTTTTTACATAAAATGAATAATTAAATATTTAAATTTCCTCAAACCTCATCATATATTATTTTACGGATAAAAGAATAAATCTGATGATTAAATTATTAAAATATTATATAAAAAGTATAAAATAACTATCATAAAATTACCAATAAAATCGCGTCACATGATATCTTTGACCATATGAATATAGTTAACTTTAATAAAATTGGATAAATGAAAAGTCAAATATTTTAAAATTTTATTTTTGTTTAGATTAGAAACTTTTTATTTAATTTTAAATTATTCTTTATTTATTTCTAGAATTTATGACATTGCCCATTATTCTTTTTTGTTACCCTCCAGTTCCAAGATTTCGTCATGACTAATCTGGATCAACCCGGATAGTACACTTGACTTTGGTGGGTGAGTCTCCCTGCAGAGATTTTCTACATACACAAAATCTCGAATCTGAGACCTTACTTGAACAATATCAAATTGCTTACCACTTGAACCAACCTCGATTAACGACGTAGTCCATTATTTATGTTAATAGTATTCCAGTTTTTATTTTTATTACTAAAACAAAACCAAAACCAAGCCTAAGGATTCGGACAAAAAAAAAAAAGAAAAACAAACAAGACAAAGAGAGAATCAGCAACAACGCCTATGCATCCCCTTTGTGCATTGCTTGCGATCGAGACATTTTGGGGCCAATATTGTGAACAAAAATTGTTTGAAAAATGCATAAACATTTTTGGGGTCATTAAGTTAAACTAATCATACATTAAAAGGGAGTATTATTTTAATCATTGCTTCCCATATTAAGGATTCTCAAAATTTATTTTATTTATTCTATTAATTAATTGTTTATTAACGGTGGTTGCAAGTATATAGTCGACCCATATATTGGTTGATGCCCACATCATTCTTTAACGATAGGAATCTTCAAATGCCCCTCACCTGGTGCATGTTAGTCCACACACTGCAATCCCCCACCCCTTTATTTCTTTTGGATAAATTACACACATGACCATTTAACTATAGGTAAACTTCAACCTGATTATCGATATTTTAATTTTGTCAGATATTTCATTTAATTATTCATATGATATCAACTGAACCACCAGCCGTTAACATTTGTTGGAGGGGCTGACATGACAGTTAACAAAATAAATATAATTACATATTTGATCATTATTACTTATATATTCTATTAATTTAGTCTTAATTTTAAATTATTTAATAAATTTAATCCCATGATCATATGATGGATTATTTTAAAATTATTATAATTTTAATATATATAATTATTAAATTGATTCGATTAAAATTCATTAAATTAATTTAAAATTAGGATTAGATTAATAAAAATATGTAAGTAATAAGTACTACATGTATAATTATGCAAACTTTATTAATTATCACATCAATTTTGACATTATTTACATAGTTAAATTTTTTAATTGATAAAATTAAAATATCAACGATCATATTAAAATTTATCTATAATTAAATGATCATGAGTGTAATTTATCCCAATCTTTTTCAATACTGTATTGATAGGCAGAGGTAATTTTGTATTATTCATTTCAGAATTCTATAAAACAAAATATGGGTTAAAATCTTACGAGTCATTCCATTAAAAACAAAAAAGATTTATTTACATGAAGCAAGACAAGGGTACTCGACGGTATAGTTTTCAAACTGGAGTTTGAACTCAGAATTGGGAAGCCATGGTTAGCTGACGTGGAAACAGGGGGAAGTGAAATACCAAGTTTAGCCTTTTAACGGAGTCAGACCCTCTGACTCGTTCCTTGTCACTGCGTGTTCTGATTCAATCCGTATACGTGAGCTGCAGCACAGCAGAGGAAACAAAGTATCTTCCATCTTTAAAATGGTGCGGTCTCTTTCAACTGACAAAAAAACAGAAAAGCAAAAGAAAAACCCAGAAAATTAAATATGAAAGTGGTGAAAAAAAAGTTTACAATTCTGATGTGATATTAAGTAATAAAATAATAATATACGGGGGAGAAGATGACAACACCCTTTTTCTTTTGTTGTTGTTGTCGGAAGGGTGGTTCCTTGTGTAGTAGTTTGTTTGCTTTTGGGGCCTAAAACCTTCCCAACCTAGATGATGAGATATTTATGTAACCCAAAAACTCAGTGTTTTAAAAAGGCAAAAAAAAAAAAAAAGAGTTACTTGCCTCTCTTTTTTTATCCAAAGATTGATGATTGATTCCAGTTGGGTTACCTAGAAAACCAGCTGGGTTAAAGTTAAAAAACTTGGGTGTCAATATGAGATTTTTATCAAAATGCTGCTGTCTTGATACTTTCTTTTGATTCTACTGGCTTTGAAGGAAGGTTAGAGGGTACTTGATATAGGAAAAAGCCAAAGTTTTTTGGTTTCATTTTATGATTCCCTTACATGTTTCCCCAAAAGAACACTGGGTCGGGTTCAGATCTTTGGTTTAGGCATGATTGCAGATGCTGTTTTGGTGTTGTTTCAAAAGGAAAGCATTGCTTTTGATGGGATAATATGAATTTTCAAGTGGATGGTATGGAGTTTGGACCACTTTGCTTTCTATGTGAGGTGGATAATTGCAGCTTGTTTTTGTTGAGAAATGAGCTGGACTACCTGCTGCTGAATTTTGGTCTTCGGGTCAGCTTGGAGGTTTTAGTTTCATGAGTTGTTCTTCTGGTACTGGGAATTTTGTGAAGGTTTTAAGCTTGTTGGAGATAGAAACATAAGTGTGCTTTACTCAATATGTCTATGAACGACAAGCTTTCTGGCTCTAATGGTAGATTATCGTCAAATTCCAGGCTGAAGAAAGCAAAGGAGACCGTTCATGGGCATGGACCAAATTCTTTCAGGAAATGGAAGAGAAACTTTCTCTTTTTCTGGATTTTAGGCTTTATTTCATATGGAATTGTTTCGTTTTTCTTGAGTTCCAACAGTATGGCTTTGGAGAGAAATCAGAGGAGTCTTGATTCTTGTGAGGAGAAGGCAAGAATCTTGCTCCAACAATTCAATGTTAGCAGGAACCAATTTCATGCTCTAGCTTCTTTCTTCTATGAATCAGATCAGGTAATTTTTGTATATTGGTTAGCTTCAAAACTTCACCTATTTTTGGCTTGGTTTGTATATGCAATTAGTTTATGTACTGGCAAAACTGTTGCTTTATTGGTCCTGTTCTGATTATGAGGGCTGAATTTGGAATATGATAAGACAAATATGTGGCTTTGTTACTTCTATATGATTTTTCCCTTGTGGAATATTATGTAGATTGAAGATAATCCTTTCTGGTTTTTACAGTGTTTCAATTGTAGTTGACTAGTGGTGCTTGAAATTGTAGAAGGTACATGTTTGGAAATGGGGTTATGAACTTATGATATGATTTGGTTATCTGTTTAATATCTTTTTATTGTATTCTTCGGTACTTGTATAGTTGAATAAATGATTGCCAAGAAAATTGCAGTGCTCATGATGTTGAAATATAATTAATATCGATCATTTGAACACTTTGAAAGAGTAGAATCATATGAACATGTCATATTATGTAATAGCGGTTAAGGACTCGAGAAAACATCAGATTTTTTTTCTTGATGGGAAATGATTTATGAATTGTAACATTGAAGGGTGAATAGTGTTTAAGATCTAGAATTGTTGATAGGTGGTTGTTATATCAAATTTATTTAAAAGTTATGAACTTATGATGCTTTAGTTCCTGCATGGGATTGCGTTCTCGCATCTCGTTTCAAATAATGTATGCTGCGTAAGAATTGTTTGTTGAGAAGTTGCACGATCACTCTCTTTGGCGCTACTACCCTAGATTTTCTATATGAAATCTATATCATTCTCTCATTGCTTTGCATATTACAGATATCATTTCTTGAATGTGTCAAACATTCAGGACCTAAAAGGCCATCGAGTGATGATGTTGCTTGTGCTCTCAAGGTAATGTGTTCGGAGAAGCAAGACTTCAAAGTGCAGCAGATGTGGGTTGTAAAAACTATGGAGCTTAAGGATCAATGCCCTGTCCAAGTTGATAATATACCCGGAGAGCATGACTTGTCGTTGCTGGATCACCGTACTTCTGTCTCGCAAAGTTCTGTTTCATTAGTATCACGGGAGCACCACAATGGCGAGAAGGTAACATCTTGATTTTAGAAACATCTGAATGATCTGATAGTAGCGAATATTCAACCACTTAACTTCGAAAAGCTTAATTAATGCTTTACCATGAATTTTTCCTACTGAATGGTAAAATATGAAAAAAAAGACTTTACATGGTTACTAATTAGGGGTCATTTATGTAAGATTACCTTTGGGAATAAGATTATTGGAATGTAATATTACTTAACATATTACTAGAATGTGTATTACCTTACTTGGTTTGTTTGACACGAAAGGTTGGAGCTTTGAGGAATATAAGATAGGAATAATGTTACTAAATTGTCCTTGTAATATATTTTCTTATTAACAAGTTGAATTCTCAAAATTAAAGTAGAAGTATTTACATGAAAGTTAATAAAAAATATAATTTTTTATAATTTCTAATTTATTTATTCTTTTGTAATTTAAGATAGAAATAATTTAATACTATATATTTTTTTATTTTTTCTAATTTTTTATTTTTTTGAAAATACATAAAAATACTTACACCAGTGTAAGTATGTGTTTATTTCTAGGCATTGAGAGATGTATATACTTACACCAGTGTAAGTATGGTGTAAGTATGTTTTTATTTTTGCATTTTTTTCTTAATTTATTCATGCTACATGTATAAATTGTGCGACAAAATATATTATTTGACAAAAATAAAAAAACATAAAACAAAATAAAATACTTATAAACATTTTATGAAAATTAATCCTAAAATTAAACGTAATAAAACACATACAAAAAATAAAACTTGATATATTTTTGTACTTTTTATTTATATGCATCATACTATTTTATAATAGGTATTAAAAAATTTGGAACCATAATAAAAAAATAAGATAGATTTATACTCATAATTTTGTACAAAAAAAGATTAATTTAAAATAGTTCTATTATTTCAAGGGTGTTCTTATTCTAGAGGGAGGGAATTATCTAATACCTAAGAAAATGAGGGGAATGACACCCAAAAAATGATACTGTAGGGAATACTTCATTACCTCCTAGAGAGAATGTTCTTAAACCAAACGTGGGTATGTGATTGTAATTCCAGAATAGATTATTCCCCTCTTTCGTGAACCAAATGTCCCCGTAATGTTATTGGAAAAAAATTATTCGTAAGACTTGTGGAGCACATCATTGGCTGATTATAATTTTGGCAGCAAAAGATTTCTGAAAAGAAGCTGACAAATTTATTCTGATTTTGTTAGGTATATATAATGTAACTTATGGTCTCAATTGTGAAATGTTTAACTGTCAGGATTATACATATGCATGCATCATACAGTTAAGCATGTGAATTAACCATGATGTAAAGTGGAGTTAATCCGATAAAGGGAAAAATTACCCTTTTTCTTGAGTAGATAATTTGAATGTCACGTATGTATATATATGGTCTTACTAAAATTGCTTGCCTAATAACTGTCCTTTTATGTTGTTTTGGCATGAACAGAAAATCTTGCGAGGAAGTGAACTAGGAGGTCGACCGGCAGACAATTTTGAGGCCTCATCTTTCTGTATGGGGAAAGGATGTTGGTTGCTTCTCGTTGGAGTCATACTTCTCAGTAAGATTTCAGGAGTTCGTTTGAAGCTCGATTGGCAGAGAAAGAATGAGCCAGCTCCGTTGCAGCCTGTACCTCAGCAACTACAGCTGCTACTGCTACAGAAACAGAAGCAGCTAGACCAGAGCCCTCCAAAAGGTGCCGGAAAGTGGAGAAAGAAACTTCTAATAGTTTTTGTACTAGTGGGTATCCTTACATCCGTCTGGCTGTTTTGGAATTTAAACCAAAAGATCATTTTTAGGAGGGAACTGACTCTTGCCAACATGTGCGATGAGAGAGCTCGGATGTTGCAAGATCAGTTCAATGTTAGCATGAATCATGTTCATGCCTTGGCAATCCTTGTATCCACTTTTCACCATGGGAAACATCCATCGGCCATTGATCAGGTCATATTCTATGTGCTTTATATCTAAAAATCAAAATGTGTTGCTAATTTGACTTACATAGACTAGTCTATGCCAATGACTGCTGATGGCAAGTCTCTGGTCTCAGTTGCATCACTCGACTTGATGGTCATCCACTATGGAAGCGTAGTTCTTGGCTTGAAATTGTATATGAAATTCAAGTGCTTATAATGTAAACAAATCTAGCTCTCATTATATATCAACTATCAACCTGAACTATTATTTCATGCTTTGCAGAAAACATTTGGTGAATACACTGAGAGAACAGCTTTTGAGAGGCCACTTACCAGTGGCGTTGCTTATGCATTGAAAGTTCTTCACTCGGAAAGGGAGCAGTTTGAGAAACAGCACAGATGGACGATAAAGAAAATGGAAACCGAGGACCAGACTTTAGTCCAAGATTGCTTGACAGAGAATTTGGACCCTGCACCAGTTAAAGATGAATATGCACCGGTGATATTTTCACAAGAAACCGTGGCTCATATAGTCTCTATTGACATGATGTCTGGAAAGGTATGCTTTTCTTTGTCTTAGGCCAAACTATATATTATATTTTCCCTATAAAAACAACCTGTGTTCTCTCGGAATGTTGAGTGCCATTTTTGCTTCCCCATCAACCTCACCATAAAGAACGACACAAAAAGAGGTCAGATTCTAGTTTACTTTTGTCCTTGTGTTCGAGCACGTATGTGTCTGGATGCTTGGACACACGGATGCACAGCCATTTCCTACTCTTAAAATTGCTCTCCTGGTTTTTGAAAACAGGAAGCGGGAAATTTCTAGAATAACCCTTCCTATAAATAAACCTAGTAGAAGTCTTGCAAATTATCTCATTTCAGGAGGAAAAGGTCTGTGAATTGTGAGGCTGACAGCTTGGCTAAGGCAGGGATAGGGTAGTTTTTAATGGACAGAGGTGAGTTTCAGGGGTGACGTTTGTGTGTGGGGAGGTCGTTGTATTAGCCGGCTGTTGTGTGTAATGTATTTTTTATGGAATGAAATTTGAGACACTCTTTTCCTCCTTCCAATGTCCGTTGATGTACTTTTGTACATTAATGGATATGAAGGGGGTTTTTAATGAGGTCTCGCTATTTATCAAAAAAAAAAAACTCAGTTAAATACAGGCACAATAACTATAAACTAGAGTGGGGACCGTTTAAGTAACTCAGTACAAATTCTCCCTACTGAAAGCAGAACTAACATTCAGAAAGTTGGAAAGTCGTGCAAATTTGCCCGAAGTTCAAATTTTTATTGATGAGAAATGGTTTCATCAGTTATAGCATGTAATTTCTTTAACTGATTCAGCAAACATTGAGGACGAGTTTGTACTATTAGAATATTGCTTAAAAATAGATTGCTTAGCAACAAGTTTATAATCTGCATTCTCAGAAATTTTCTGTTTATTCTTAAACACTAAAACACAGCTTAGAAGCGTGTCTACTTGTATCTTCTTACTGTCTCATCTTCATTTAGCCAATAATGCTATGTTATTTTGCTCTTTCCACTGTTCACAGCAAGACCTTGAGAACATCCTCCGAGCAAGGGTGACCGGAAAGGGAGTACTGACATCACCTTTTAAGCTGTTAAAATCCAATCACCTCGGTGTTGTGCTCACGTTTGCAGTTTATAACAAGGATTTGCCTCCAGATGCTACACTAGAGCAGCGTACTGAAGCGACCGTGGGGTAATTATCTCTTAAACTGTTTGATTTTCTATATAATAATTCTGACAAGTGCTACTGTTATTGTTGTTGCCAATTAGTTTAATTTTATGTTTGTAACAAAACATTTGAATAGTCTTTCTCAATTACAGGTATCTGGGTGCATCTTTTGATGTCCCCTCCTTGGTGGAGAAGCTCTTGCACCAACTTGCTAGCAAGCAAACAATTGTTGTCAATGTTTATGACACAACCAATGCATCTAATCCGATCAGCATGTATGGTACTGATGTAATTGATACTGGCCTGCTGCATGTCAGCAACGTTGATTTCGGGGACCCGTTACGGAAGCATGAGATGCACTGCAGGTTAGTAGTCTGCTTTTTTTTTTCCCTTTTCAAGAATATATAAAAGAAATTTAATATTGGCTAAAAGAAATGGGACTGTATGTTTTCTCGAAATTGCAATGTTTTTGCTCTTGCAGATTCAAGCAAAAGCCTTCGTTGCCTTGGACGGCAATCAATGCATCCATTGGAGTCCTAGTTATCACTTTGCTTGTTGGTCATATATTCCATGCAGCTATATGTCGAATTGCAAAAGTTGAGAATGACTGCCGTAAGATGATGGAGCTCAAAGCTCGTGCTGAAGCTGCAGATGTAGCCAAATCTCAGGTTTGTTTGCTACTACTCGGAAACAAGTTTCTCTCCTTTATAAAAAAATTGGGCTCAATGCTATAGTGTTTTCTAACTTAATGGTTCTCTTTTGTAGTTTCTAGCTACTGTTTCCCATGAGATCCGAACTCCAATGAATGGTGTTTTAGGTGATTAGAAAGCCCTTCAACTCTATTCCAGCACAAGTAATTAAACAATGGTACTTATATTACGTTCCTATAATATTCACAGGTATGCTTAAAATGCTGATGGACACCGACCTTGATGCGATCCAAAGGGACTATGCCGAGACTGCTCATGCCAGTGGAAAAGATCTTATCTCACTGATAAATGAAGTCCTTGATCAGGCTAAGATAGAATCAGGCAGGCTTGAACTTGAGGATGTACCCTTTGATATACGCTCTCTTCTCGATAATGTTCTCTCACTCTCCTCTGACAAATCTAATGATAAAGGGATTGAGGTAAAACCAAGTTGCTTCTTTGGTTACTCATCTAATTTACTTCCGTTTTTCTTCACGTTCTTACATAATCTTGTTTGTTTTGTTCTTTGAACATGAGAAGTTGGCTGCTTATGTATCCAGTCGGGTTCCTGAAATTGTTGTCGGTGACCCTGGGCGGTTTCGACAAATAATTACTAATCTTGTTGGAAATTCAATTAAGGTCTGCTATGTTCAAAATCACATGTTCCTTCCCTTTCCGTTGCCTCATACAACTAAAATTTAATATAGAAAATCAGATGAATATTTAAGTTACATGCTCGAATCTGCAGTTCACGCAGGACAAGGGGCATATATTTGTCTCAGTGCATCTGGTAGATGAAGTGAAAGATGCATCCGATGTGGAAGACAAGGTGCTACAACAATGCATGAACTTAGTTCAGGACATGTCGAGCAAAACCTATAATACTTTAAGTGGTTTTCCGGTGGTAGACAGATGGAGAAGCTGGGAGAATTTTGAAATAATAAATGGAAAAGATACAATGAATGATCCCAAAAAGATTAGATTAATAGTAACAGTTGAGGACACAGGTGTTGGGATTCGTTTCGATGCTCAAGGTGAGATTTTCACTCCTTTCGTACAAGCCGACAGTTCCACTTCACGACATTATGGTGGGACTGGAATAGGATTGAGCATCAGCAAACATCTGGTTGGACTCATGCATGGGGAGATTGGGTTCGTGAGTGAGCCTGGTGTTGGTAGTACTTTCTCATTTACTGGAGTTTTTGGAAAGGGCGAAGCGAGTTCTCTTGATTCCAAGTGGAAGCAATGTGATCCCGCGGTTTCAGAGTTCCGAGGATTGGGAGCTCTCATTATTGATAATAGAAGCATCCGCGCGGAGGTCACAAGATACCATCTACGGAGATTAGGAATATCCGTCGCTATAACTTCCAGTTTGGAGTCGGCATGCACCTACTTGTCTAGCGTTTTTGGGACAAGGTAGCTATATATATGTGCATATGTGCATACATGCACACATACTTTTCCAAACCTGCATCGATATTTATAAGTACTATATTGCTGTCTTACGAAAAATAAGAATTTGAAGACGACTTGTTTTTGACCATACCATTTAACTCACATTGGTTTTACTGGTGCATTGTTCGTTAATTCTGCAGTACATTTGCACATTTGGCCATGATTCTTATCGACAAAGACGTTTGGAATCAAGAAGAAGTTATTCAGTTACGATCTATGCTTGAAGGACATAGGCAAAACGGCAAGCTAGATGTTTCAACAAACCTTCCAAAGATTTTTCTCTTGGGTACCTCCATGAGCCCCGTTGAACGCTCCAAGCTTAAGACTGCAGGGTTTGTAGATAACGTGCTGATGAAACCTCTTCGGTTGAGTGTGTTAATTGCCTGTTTTCAAGAAGCCCTTGGAAATGGTAGAAAGGGCCAAGTACAGAGAAAGAAAATATCTACACTTGGGAGCTTAATTGGAGGAAAGCGAATTTTAGTTGTCGATGACAATAAGGTTAACCGAAGAGTGGCAGAAGGTGCTTTAAAGAAATACGGAGCAATTGTTTCCTGTGTCGAAAGAGGCCATGATGCGCTCAACCAGCTCAAGCCACCCCATAATTTCAATGCATGCTTCATGGATCTCCAGATGCCTGAAATGGATGGGTAATCAATCCATAACCTCTTTGCTTAGCATTTACTCAAGCCAATATTACTCTTAGTTAATCCAGAACCAGCTATTTCGGTTTCGATTTTATGTAGTGATAAGAATGCTGGTTTGTTTGATAGAGCTTGGTCTAGACATCTTTAAAGATGCATAATATTATGCAGATTCGAAGCAACTAAGCAAATCCGCAGCACCGAGAATGAGGTGAATGAAAAACTTGCTTCTGGAGAAGCATCAATCGAGATGTATGGAAATGTGTCTCACTGGCACATTCCAATATTAGCAATGACAGCTGATGTGATCCAGGCTACATATGAGAAGTGTCTGAAATGTGGGATGGACGACTACGTATCGAAGCCTTTCGAGGAAGAGCAACTGTATTCAGCCCTCACACGGTTTTTTGATCCCGGCTTATAGGGTGGAAGGTAGCTTCAGCAGTCCTTCGGTTCTCTTCACAAGCGACAAGCCTTGACTCCATGAGTCTGCTCCAACCTGCATCTTGCCTCGTAATGATAGATGTCTAAAATATGGTAATCTCTGGCATCACCATATATATATATCATGAATACAAAATATTTGATGAAATGCCGAAGCCAAAATATGATTGTCACCTTGTCGGATGCTCACCGTGTCGGTTCTTTTAATGGGCAGGAAATTCCAAGCTTGCATGAATGAAAGTACGTTGAAGGGACAAAGCGGTGGCATTACGTCTACATAGCAAATTTGATTAAATTTGTAATTAAGGTGCTCTCCATTCTTTTTGGCTTCTCATATATGTTTTCATCCAAGCAATAAAAAGCTATATAGAGTTGTGTGTATGTTTCAAAATCTTTACAAGGGCAGTTTATCAAAGTTGCACAAAGTACATGGATCCCTGGGGTGGTCGGTTGATGTGGTTGTCCCTTAAAATTTTAATTTATCATATTTTAGATATTTTTATCCTTTTATTTTTAGTAACTTTGTTTGGATAAAGAACCAAATGACCTCCATAGTAAAAGAATTGTTATTCTTTGAGAAATCGGGTTTCAAGCACTAAATATATCACGGGTGTGAGCTTTTAATGTTGAAAGTTTGAGAGTTATCTTTAAACATATAGTCTTGTATTTTGTTTGGATAAAAATATTTTTAAAAATGAAATTAAGTTATTAAAACCTTGCAAGTTTAAAAAATTCTCTATAAAAAACAATATTCAAATAATTTTTTTTAAAATATATGTAATATGAATATCATTAAATTTGTAAAAATGTCGATATATCTTTAATAATATATATATATATATATATATATTTAGAATTAAATAAGATTTCAGGGTATAAAAATTCTTGAACTTTTTCGAAAAACAAAATTAATTAAATCATTCATGATTTATTATAATTTATATGTTATAATTAAAGTGGCTGTAATTATGTATCAATAAAAAAAATAATTCAAGAATAAAAATAAGAATAAATTATTAAGATAATAAAATCGTTGGAACAAAACATGCAAAACACGAATTGCGAAGTTTAGACGAAACAAAACAAGCAGAGACGTCCTAGAAAAGCAATTTATGGGAAATTGACAAAAAAAAAAGTGAAATTTCCAGCTATTTGTCTCTTTGATTCGTCAAACTTTTCAAAGCCTAGCCATTATGTATTCATAAGTTAAGTCTTTATTATATTGCAGGTGCCAAGCGTGGAATTTTCTATATCATCTTTTTTTTAATATATGTTGTTATAAAAACCAAACATGATAATTCAATAATATCCATGAGACTTATAAAAGCCACATTATAATTATGAAATACATGCATGCTAATTCTCATAGATCAAAATATTTATTCTTAAAAAAAATCCCATTCGTTTTCTTTCTCCTTCTCTCTTTTTTTTTCTTTTTGATAATTTATGTCAATTTTATTGATCAATCTAACTTTTTCTTCTTTAATTTTGTTTAACAGTAGGTGGCACCGATTTTGATGTTGGTTGCTGTCTGTCGGTTATCTTTTTTCTTTGTTTTTAAATAAGAATAATTATTTCTTTGTGGCATGTTCTTTACCTTTATAACACGTTTATATATGACTTTGTCGCACATTTTTATGTCTTTTGGTAACTTACGCTTTTTTTTTTCAACTTTTTTCGTTTATCTTTTTTCACAGGGTTGAATTTGGCATCGCCACGACTGATCAAGATAACGCTTATTTGTTATTATGCTGATCTTCGTTGCTTTGGACCCTTGAATTGATTTGGATACGCGTTTTGCGCTCGTGGATAGTTTTCTCATCTCACTTGACTCTGATTTGCGATTTGTCAGTGGTCTTTAAGTAGTTTCATCCCCTTTTGTAGTTCGTTTGTTGATACAGTTAGATTTGTTCATATCTTTATTTTTATTCGAGCATTGGTTAGGTTTTTTTTTAACCTTTTTCCTTTTATGATCATTGTGTGATTTAGGTGGCTAGTTTTTGTGCTAATGATTATAGGAAAATGTTATAATTATAATTTAATTTACGGTTATACTCATAAATCTTCATTGTAATTCTGAATAGTTTCTATTTTTAATAAAACTAATTGCTTTCTATAAAAAAATGTTATGCTTCATAATTGTCATGCTCAAAATATATTACTTGTAATTTCTTTTTGTCTCTCTAAGTTTGAAATTTAGTGTGTGTATTGTTATTTCACACGTAGGTGGTTGGAGTTTATCGTGAGTTGATCAGGTTGTTGCATCACGAAGAAGAGTCACCACAAGTTATCAATGCAAAGGCTCTTTTTGTATGTTTTGAGATCCTGTGTTCAAGCAGTTACGTTTGTAGAGCGTGTGTATGTTGTCAAATAACTAAGTGAGATTATGAATAAATACTACCTTATAATCCCTCGTGCTAGGGCTGTAAATGAGACGAGATAGATCGCGAGCTATTCGAGATCGACTCGATAAATACTTAGATCGAATAGACTCGACTCGAGTTCTTAACGAGCTGAAACGAGCTACTCGATATTCGACTCGAAAGCTCGTGAGCAGCTCGAAAATATAATATATTAAGATTTTATTTAAAAAAATAAATTAATAATAATATTAATATTTATGTATTGCTTTTTTTAAATAAAATACAGTAAGATTTCATGTATTTAAGGTTCATGTTTGAGTTTGAGTTTGAGGTTTTAATTGAGTTAAGTTTAAGATTTTTTTTTTCATTTCGAGCCTTTTCGAGCTGCTCACGAGTTTCAGTTCAGGATTTCGAATTCGAGTCGAGCTCTATTTCAGAGTTTTCGAGTCGAGTCGAGTTTAGCAATACTCGAGCTCGACACGGCTCGTTTACACCCCTACCTCGTGCTATTTAAAAAACGAGATCAAATGACACATTTACGTGATGGATATATTTAATGACCACTCATTTGTGAAGCACATACGGTTGTAATAATCTTATATGGGCTGTAAATTGACCATTATATTTGATTTGGTTGATGTTTGATTATGATTAGGGAATTTTTATGGGATTTAATATTGCATCTTATATATAATATTTATTTATAAATAAATAAAGGTTATGATCATTTAATAAAGAATATACTTATTTGCGTATATTTATTAATAAACAGATTAATATTAAATACAAATTATGAGAAAAGAGAATAATATTTACATGAGAGAAAGACTTGAGTTTAAATATCGATGACTTTTTAAGACATCGAAGCAGTTTTAATTCGAGACTTTTGTCTTTGGACTGTCGGATGTATGGGATAGGACAAAAAGCCATTGAATTATCGGTTTTTTTTTAAAAAAATATAAATATTTAATTTTCTTTATATCTAGCTAGTCAAATAATTATATGTAAAAAATGTTATTGTTTACAAAAATGTTCCCCGTGCACATATATTTTGCAGGCACCCAATTGTCTTTGGGTGTGGTTAGATCTGAAGACAGAGGCGATGACTTTTTGGTTCATTAACACTAATTAATTAATTAAACTATTAAGTTAGATGGTTACTTGAAATATTACATCGGATGAAACCCAAGTCCTCACATATTCTTAGTCTTAATTAAACATTTATAATTCCTTAATGGACAAATCTTACCCATAAAAAGAAGAGATGAATAGGTATTTTATTAACAAAATTCTTTTTATACCCATATTTCCAAGGTTGTCATTCTATCAGTGTATATGTCTCATAAAACTTTATTATTCATTGATAGATGACAAACGAACAACATATTTTTATTTTCTGTTGAGAAATTTACTATAATGATCATTGTGGTTGATGGGTCAGCAATTGAAGGCATAGTAATTAAGTTAAGAAGGTAACGTTTAAGAACATTTCTTATAAAGTTTATATATTCTTTATATTTCATATTGATAATTTAATTTTATATTCTTTAAAATTTTATAGTTTTTTCTCCTCTAAATTTTTAATATATATTTTTTAAAAGATTTGTATTTCAATATAAAATTTTATGTCAACTCTGATAACGTTATTGTTCGAATCGATCATGTACCTCATTGTATCCTCCAAACAATGAATCAACATCTAATGATTCTAGGTCACTTTAGCTTAGACTTAAAGCCACGTTAACTTAGAGGCTCCCTTTCTTTATCTTATGCATTACATTATTATTTATTAAAATAAAGAGAAATTTCTACCAATGAGTTGGTTCAAGTGATAACCAGTTTGATATTGTTTAAGCAGTGTCTCGGGTTGGAGTTTTGTATATGTAGAAAATTCCTGCTGGGAGACTCAACCACCAAAACCAAGTCTGCAACGTGGGTCGATTTGGATTAATCAGAGCAAAACATTGGACCCAGAAGGAAAACCAAAAAAAGAAAAAAGAAAATTTTTCAAAAATTATAATATATAAAAAAAAGGTGGGTGAGGACAGTCGTCCTTCAAAATTTAAAATTACCTTACATTTTAGATTTTTATGTAATTTTATTAAAAATATATTTTATTCTCTTAAATTTAATAAATTGATCACTTTCTAAAATTTTAAGAATTCATTTTCTTAACATAAAATCTATATTGTTCCATACGTGTGGCATAGAGAAAGGGTGATTCTTTGTAGAGATAAGGTGTGTTTGTAGGGACACTAACTTTGGAAAGGGGACAAAGCAGAAACAAGATACCCTTTCTTGATATTTTCTTTTGTCATTTGCATGAATTCGATTCCTTACAAAACTTTTTTTTTAAGCTTGGAATCAGTTGGTTCATTACGTCAATCAATTTGGATTTTCTTTTTCCCAAAGTAACATTAATGAAGGATTTCGAAGACATTACAATTTTTTATTAAATAAAAACATTGTATTTTTAAAATAAATATCAAAATTTGAATTTACATAAAATAAGATAATATAAATATATTTAAGGGTAAAGTATACAAATAGTCCATCGACTAGAGGGTATTGATTTAGTAAGTCCCTCGACTATTAAAAATTATAAAATGACCCTCTAACTATAGAGTGTTGCTTTGTTGAGTCCCTCGATTATTAAAAGTTACAAAATGGTCACCCGACTATTCATTATGTTCCAAATTCGTCATTTTCCGTTAAAATATGGACGATTTTTTGAGCTAAACATTAGCATGTTGATTGTGATATGATAAAATCTGATCCTAGAATATCAAATGACTATAATATCCTAGTCATCATATTGATGTCCAACTGAAATAACCACCAATTTTAATGGAAAATGACGAGTTTGAAACATAATGAATAGTTATGTGATTATTTTCTAACTTTTAATAGTCAATAGACTTAACAAAGTAACATTCTATATTCAAAGGACCATTTTGTAACTTTTAATAATCAAATGACTTAATAAAATAATATCCTATAATTAGGAGACCATTTGTGTATTTTACCCTATATTTAACTACTCAAACATTTAATGAATTTCGACATTGTTATTTTTTTATTTTAATCTTTTTGAACTTTCAAAGTCTTAATAAATTAGCCTTTTTCTCATT